CATAATTATCAATTTCTTATGATCTTAGAACTCACTGAAAATTGCTAAGCTTTAGCTGATGTATAAAGATTAACCGTGTCAGCTAAAAATATGTTTGTTCATTTTCTCTCCCCTATTAAAGTCTTGTGAGTTACGTAACTCATCGGTTCAATACGTTATCAAATATGATTCACAAAGTCATTGTTTGTTCTGGTGTAATAATTTTTTGAACCATTAAAAAAAAGCAAGAACAGAGATGCGGGAAAGAAAATCAGAAGGTTTAAGTGTTTGATTATTCAGTTGCTAATTTCAATGAATTTATGGAGAGACAATTGCAAGAAAACTTTCATCTATGAAACCTATAAAATGATAATTACTACTCTGTAAGTAGGCTTCTGCTAAAATTAGTATACTATTGAGGTCCAATGATTAACTAAGAACTTGAAAAATGAGGATTACATGGTTAAAATCGGCTTAATAGTCATGAGTACTTCCTGAATATTTTGGCTTACATGTGTTGAAATTGGTCACAATGGTCCAGATGTATTCTTTGTTATCCCATAGATTTTGAAATTCCATGTTATTATATATTTTGTATTCGAAAAATTCATTCTCCTCAAATCAAATTCCCTATTTCTAATCCTCTTTACTATCACTAATACTACAAATACTTGTACTACCCTAGTATTCATCTTTCTTTGATGATACAGTGTAGCAACTTGAACGGATGTACATGTATCCCAGGTTCTACTTTGCTTATGACTGGCTAACAAAGCCATCGGAAATGTTTTTGAAACAGCAAATGTGGCTAATCCCAGTTGAAAGATAATTAATTCTAATTATTTAGATAAATCAAATGTTAACCCAGTATCGACCAGTTTAAACATTAGTTACCATCAAGGGTCTGGAATTTCTTATCGATTAATTAAAAATTATTCAAAACATCTAGACTACTATTTCTTTTCTCTCCATATTTTTAGGTATAGATAAATTAGTATGATTATTCATATCCGGATGTTCGATATTTGGTTATTTTCTAAGATTATTTCTTGATTTAAATAATAGTAAATTAAATATAGACGTATTTTCATATCTTATTGAACATTGAGACTGTTGCAACGAGCGGTGTCGGCAAACTGATACTTGCTAACCCCTCAGTTGACTACTTAAGCGGGTATACAAGAGTGAGCGAGAAAGTATATTTAGCTACCACTCTAACCCTTAGGGAATTGGTCCATTTTTAGGCCAATGAAATCCACTTGTCCTCTGGATAACTTCTGATTGCCATCGATTGATCTCCTCATTAGTTTACTTCTAATTGGTTTACCATATCAGAAACTAGATATTAGGTGGAATGATGAATGTCTAAACTGACAAATTATTGAATATTTATTCCTAAAAATCATTAAAAAAATAGCGCATTATAGTTATTATTAATGGCTTTATTCAATATAATATTTCGGTACAATATAGAACTCATTCATAAACGAAGAAATAAAATAGTAATTTAGATGAAATTAAATTATCAATGTCATTTATCACTTTACGAGTACAATTACTACACATCAATACTAATCTCACTCGGATAAACTTTAAGCATCCCGACTATCTGTCTCTTTTCATTTAACTGTTCTCTTTTATTAACTTCTGTCATTTGCTAGTGTGATTCCATCTCAGCTGTCCGTGTATCCTTTTTTTCAACTACAGATTAGATAAGTAGCGTTGATAAATTGGAGTAGCGTACTCATTAAGGTTATTGATTATTCTTGTCTTAAAATGATACTTAGATCTGATTGGCCAATAATTTGGGTAAATAACAGCAACATCCAATTCAACCATTGATTTGTTTACAAAGTTGAACATTCTTTTCAAAAGATATTTTCATTTTTCCTATAAACACTCTGTGTAAATACATACGTACATATTGCCCAAAGGAATATTCACATTTGGGAAAGAAATGAATTAACTAACATATTTATACCATCAGTAGGAATTATCTATTGAATTAGTTTATTCAAATGAATCAATATCGGAAGGAGCAAAATGGTCGTTTGCTTTGTTCATTCTATGACAGAGTAGAAATATATATAGTTTGATTGAATGTTTCTTGTTGTGTAGTTCCGTATACGTATGTATGTTTATCTGTGTGTTTAAGCTTTTTACATATTGAACGTTTGTCATCTTTTCTCCGATACAATAATAAGTAAGTATACCTATACGATTATAAAATAATGGAGGAATAAAAGAAATTGAGCAGTTGATTGTGACTATGTATTCGTGCTATAAGTCTTGTCCATTCTATTTAACTAGTATTAAATACACGCACAAAAAAAGAAACAGTAAAATGCTCCTATTAACTAATGAAATAACAAAGATTTTTTTGTATGAAATAACTGTATCGTTGTAGGCACAGCTATTTAACCATTAGAATAACACATATAATCAAATAATGTTATTTTCAGTCAAGTCTTCATCAGCTATGTATGTAAGAAAAGAATTTGGACTAATCAAGACAGTTTATGAGCCAGTGATAACAATAAAACAAAGGATTACATAAGTAATCTTAATAAGTAGGAAGTACAAACTAATTTTAAAACGATAAGTGTATTGTTAGTGATAGGGATAATATGTTGACATAGGTGGTAGGTTAGTGCTTTAAAAAAATAAACTTTCTAAAATAATAGTTGAAAGGAAATAATTTCTATCCAAAGTAGGAACGACAGAGATATCATAAACGTTTTCTAAATACAAGGTCTATGGTTATCAGTTTAAAATCTATATTAGCTTCCACCATATGTAAGATAAAGTAAACGCCACTCTGAAAATTTGATGATATTTGATAAATCGCTTTGAATACTTTGATTCTGTCTTGCTCATAACTACTATCCACTAAATGTGGTAAAACAGATCTGCGTATAACTATTGTCAGACCCTCTGAAAACCATGCGAGGAAGTAAAACTGTCTGATTGTAAGCCCGATATAGCTTTATCCTTAGCAATTACGCATTGATGTGGAAATATCATGTACATTACAATAATTGACGTTATTGATATTTTTGAATACTTAATAGTAAATAATGTACGCAATTTTCAATCAAGTTTAGTATTAGCGTGATTCTTCTGTAACACTAAGAAATTTTCAATCAAACGCAGACAAAATTACCCATATAGATTCTCTCCAGCAAACTGTAAAAAACCCTTCACAAATCCAAGCAGCTAATCAGGTTCTTGAGTTAATGTCGAGGTTTGTTATCTTCTCCGTCTATGTAAGCCATGGTGACTAGTGTGGCTTTTCTCAATCCATTTTTCAATTGTTTTATTTTGCTGATGCATTCGCTGTGGTTTCTGTTTTCAATAATTGTGTTGTGTTGTTCAGTGTCCGACTTCGATACTGATACTCAAGCTTCCCATACACGAGCCCCACCATCTGCTCAAGTAAGAAGACGAAGAGTGAGATGAAAGTTTTTATGGGTGAATTAATCCGTATATGTATATATTCATTTATACGTACACTCCTATCTCTTAAAGAAAATAAGCCATCGTCCCTTAGAAATGGTAATATTCTGATGAGGACACATTAAATAAACACTGCAATAATCTCATAGATTTTAGTTACCGGTGAAAACTGTTCATTACTTTTAATTAACTGACATTTATTAGAAATATTGGATGAAATGTACATGACGTTGAAATATAGTTTAATCATTAAATTATAGGTTTAAAGAGATTTATCCTTGGACTATTGTTGTATTCCACTTTTGGACTCCTTTCCTATGAGAACCCTTAGTTCTAGATAGAAAAGAACGAATACCATTCGATTCTTAAGATTATCACTTTCGATTTCGACTAATTATTCACAATGTTTAACGTTGGTTATATGATCACATCGGTGATGTTTGTCTCTCAATATGGAAGACTAAATCAGTCGGAAATTCTTATTTTTAGCTCCAGAATTTCATCTCTACTCTAGTCACTAGTGAACATATGATCATTCTACTAAAAATTGATGATCTACTCATTTAACCACTCTTAAAATCAAATCAGTAGTTTTTACTAATGATATTAAATGATAGTTTCACCATCATTTTTTACCTAGTTTCAGAAAAAACGTACCATGTTCGTCAATAAGTTTAAATTCAGGTACATCTAGCTGACGAGTCTCAAATAGGACGAAACGTGCGTCCTAGATTCCACTGCTAGTCATCATCCACCTTTGCTAATTAATTTAAATGTTTTTGATTTAAATTCGTTGAGTTTGTGTTTTTCTTTACTGGTTAACAATTTCAAAAACAACGGCGAACCAATGCTACTATCCAGTGTTTCCCAACTTTTAATGGATACTTTAGATGACTTTATGTCTATAATGAAAATTAACTTGTAAGTAATAGAGAGTCTGTGAATATTACTTATATTTACAGTTAACATCATGGACTTATATATGTCAGGCAACCATTGAAGACCAAGAAGCAGTGAACAACTATTCCATCTTAGTATGAGTTTCCTCAGTAGTGTTTATCCATGACCCTATCAGGGATTGAACCAAGAACATGTTCTTCAGACAGGTCTTAACCTTTAGACCATTGAATTGGAATCTGATAGTTAGCATGTCTAACTTCAATCAGTTCGTGATATTGCATAACCATTTTCAGTATCATTGGGTGGAGTAAATGCTTCGCGTACAATACGGTTAAAGTCCATTTGTCATGGCCTCTTATTAGAACACTAAAAATTACCTCTTGAAAGATGGCATTAATGAGTATATTATGTCCACTAGTTTCTAGTTTTCATTAGTTATTTGTGATAGAAAACTTCGAATTTCCTATACTATAAAGTTAAATTAATCAATCAATCATCTTTACATTTTTTCAAAATAAAAACTTTTTTTTTCTTCTTTAAAGCTTACTATCTCCTTGGCAAGTATTTTTTATGTATAGTAAAACAACGAATGAGATGGATTAATATATATATTATTTGACTGTTACTGTTTTATTCTTTACTTTTTTTCTCAATTTTGTCGATAGAGAATTAAGTGTACTTGTTGAACCAAGAGAAACAGGTCAAGTTGAAATGCTTGTTTCTTATGTGGTAAATCGTTGTGGATGGAAACCAGCTTATGATATTCGTATTTTTAACAATGATGGAACAATGAAAGTAAGTTCTTTTTTATATTATTAAAAATGAATAAGAATTTAATAACTTTTTATAACCCTTGTATCTGACTCCAGTTAAATCTTATGCCAACTGTTATCGAAATATACATGTTGTCAATCCTCATATATTTATATCGACTTAATTCGCGTTAGAAAATAACGGAATAAAATAAGCCAAATATGAGAATGAATTTAGAATACATATGTTTCATATACCCATTGATCCAAACAGACAATCAGAGAAACGCAGAGGAAGAAACGAAGCGAAAGGAAACGAAACGCAATGAAGTAACACACGCAGCGGAGAAGGTGAGTGAGCCAACTGCATTTGACCAAGAGCAACTCAATATTTATTTTCAGACCAAAAATAAGTTACAGACACGTGATGAATAGGGTGAGCAGCTAACGACACATACAATCATATAAAAACAGTCAGGGTTAACAAGCAAATAATCAAGATAAAAATATGGCTTGAGAAGAATGGATAAATTAATCTAGCCAGAAGCTAGATAAACCTAGTGTGATTGACATAGTATCAGCCACTACAAACTATTGTTAAAAGGAGTATGTCACTTAATTAAATCTTAATTCACTAAAATTTCAAAGTTAATTTCCTTTGTTTAATTTACTTAATTGACAATAATTCATTTCATTTCCAATTATAATTTCATAATAGAAATAATGTTGACTGTGACCATCATCCAAATGATAATAATCGTTTAAAAGATATCGTTCCTTTTTTTTTATATTGTATAATCATTGCACTCATTTTTTTTTAGAAGTACACTAAAAATCAATAAACTCCAGTGAAGAATACAAAAAGTAAACATATTTTGTTTGCCTTTTTCTGATAGAAAAAAGTCTAGTTGAAAGTGATTACTAACTTCAATTAAGTTGATGTGGTCACTTTCAGTATGTCTGAAATTTCACCCGTCCTATATTAGGATGAAATAACTGTTTAATCCTTTTAGATTTTCAATGGTATCCTAACTATGATCAGTCAGTGACGAATTACGACAATAGGCTGGTCGATGGATATGACGAAACTGTTCGCAATATTTCATTTATTGTATGATACTTTTAACAACATGGTTTTATCAAGAAAAATCAACATAAGATGCATATATACCGGCAGAGGTTGATCAAAAGTTTTTTATAATTATCTACAACCCTAACCAATAATCATATATTGTTCAGAGCATTTCAATTTTCAACAGTTATCTAATGATATCAGTTCACAGTGAAAATAATCTTCATATAGTGTTAACTGTTACTGTAGTGATTATAACCAAAAGTATTTGAGCTTGAAATTATAGAACATCTCACTAAAATCTGAGAACCATATAGTAAATAGTTAATTTGCAAAATATCAATCCATCGTCTCAAACTTGACTGTTCCTTCTGCAAATATCAGTCCATTGTCTCAGATTTCATTGTTTATACATTTTCATACCAATTGCTTCCTGTTCTTGTTCTTTCTTCCTCGATCTCCTACTGAAATACATTCTATTCCCGATCATCGTTATATACTACTTATGTGAATATAAGTAGCTCATACTACATTACTAGTATTTGTGTGTGTATGTGTACCCTTAGAAATCATGATCATTTATATCGTAAATGCTTCATTAATCTGGTTATAGGAGCACTGGATAACTGTTGTGTTTTGGCGTTGAATTTCTGAGCAGTGCGTAGACTAATGAACTCTCACTATACGTCCGTTGTACAATATTGCAAATTTATTAAAATCGAAATTGTACCATTGGATCGATCGAAACTAAGTATAAACCATTAAATGAGTACTCAAGACTCTAAAGGTTAGGGCTTCACCCCACATATCTGAAAATCCAGAGTTCGGTCTTTGGTGGTTTCGTCAGTGAGGATTGCTAGAGATCCCTAACTGTTCCATTAATCGACAATTATTTCATCATCAATCTATAGGTAGTTTCAAATATTCAATAGTAAGCAACAAGGAATGTATGATCTGATTTCACCACTTCAATACATAACATACTGTTTACAGTTGAATAAAGGATGGTAAAAAGTAAAGAAATACACTTGACAAGGCCAATTTACTCTTCTTACTGAAAAACCGAAAATGACCACAAACTTTATTTTTCTTAAGGGAAAAGAAAAAATAAACCCACAGTTAGATTCTGAAGGTTTTTGTAAACTTCCAATTCTTTATTATTAAAATTATCAAAAGTGTTAACTTCATCATGACTTTTAAGTTTTTATTAATGATTTTTCACGATAAAGAATTTCGACTTTTGTAACAAATCGTGTGTTTGTTTGCTTATTTACATGTTTGTGTGTGTGTGTCTGCATTTCCTGATATAACCATATTGGACTTATCAGTATAGGTTTGTGGAGATTGTTGACTTGTGATTGAGATCATGAGTTGATCAATGTTAGACCACAATTGAAAACCTGGAAGCATTGGATGACCATGTCGTCCTAGTATGGGACTTCTCAGAGGTGCGCATGACACCAAAGGTCTTAAGTTGGAGTCCCGGGTGCAAGGTCGTAGATGTGCACTGCTTAGGAGTTCCATACTAAGACGAAACGGCCATCCAGTGCTCCCAGATTTTCATTGGTGGTCTAATATTGATCGGTTCATGATCTTAATATTGGACTTATTAAATGTCTGTTTCGCATTTGAAATTCACGAATTCTGTCTCGAATATAGTCATTAGTCAATATTTCATTATTATTGTTATCGTGTCATAGTTTCTTGTATAGAGATAAAATAGTTTTTATCTTGTCATATTTATGTGTTTGTGTGCTGGATTGTAGAAACCAAATAGAATAAAAGAATAGTGATACTACACACTGGAAACAGTTTTTTTTAAACTCAATAAATAATATAGTGAAACAGCTTTAAACTGAAACTAGAATATGCTGGAATGCCTAACAAGATCAGTTTTATTAAAACTAAAAAAATATCAAGGTATTGTAAATCTTATGAAAATTGTCATTTTTCAAAATCCAAGTTAGATATATTTGTAATCAATCTGAAGGATAATTTCTTGACATGATTAAACCAACAGGGAAGTCACTGAATGAGGCATTAATGTTTTTTTTTTTTCATTTAACGTTTGAATCTCTGGTAGACTATCATTTTCATCCAACTTAGGGATAATCTTTACAGTTAACTTTCAGGTTACTACATCCTACTGTAATTTTTCAATCATCAATTATCAAATACAAAGAATTTCTATACAGATTTGATTTGTAATTTATTCATCGACAAAAATTGATTTAGTACGAGAGATAACAATCGTTAGTTTCGGGTAATTGGTTATAATAACGTAAATTCACATCACTGGTGACCATATAAATTGAATATCAACTACCATATAAAGCATAATTGTTCGATTCCATGATCTAGACTGAGCTCAAGACCGAAATACTTCGTGTATAGCATGTTGACTTGTGAAATTTATAACTTGCTGATTGTTAATATCGTTGAGGAGATCCAGAAAATTCCTCAAAAAGAAGACGAAAGGTGCTCTGAAAACGCTGAGAAACATGTTATCCAATCAGTATTCAATAGATGTTTTGCCAGAAACATGTAGACAGTGAAAAGTCACATGTCGCGTTTCTGATTGGATGATTACTTATACTGCTACTATGTTTAGTAGCGTTCTAGAATTTTCCGGAAGCCAAAGGCCTAGGTTTTCTGTACATAAACGAACCTTGGAGTAAAGCATTTCTTGTATATTTCTCGCCTTTTCTCTTGTGCTCAAGTTGCTGTGTAGATTTAGCCTAGGGTTTAGGAAACTGAATCTAGCCACAATCCAAAGATCCATATAGATTCGAATATCTCAGTGCTAATTAATTGTAGAAAAAAGTACTTTGAATAAAGTGTTTCCTGTTGAGCGATTTCATTATTTTACAATGTTGATGAAACAGCCTTAACAAATGTAATTAATACTGTGATAATAAACTTTCAAATAATTTCAGTTATTAAAAATGATACAGAAGACCTGGAATTCAGGTGATTACTTGTGGTATTGCTGAGTTTTCTAATCTAGATAATTCAGTTTTAATGCTTTCATTACCATACAGAAGAACATCATCATTGTTCATTCTTATGTAGAAATGAAACAAGATCATCAAAACGAAATGATTTCACACTTACGTAATATTAACAGTTGAATCCACCAGTCGATCTAAGCTAGACAACCATTGAAAACCTGGAAGCGTTAGACGTCTGTTTCTTCCTAGTACAGGACTCCTCAGTAGTGAAGTAACTAGAAAGTTTACCTCTGCATGATGTAAATATGAATAATATTGTCTAGAACAATGATGAAAGCTTCTCAGTTAAACCATCTAGTTCTGCTAATTCAGCAGTTTGCGTAATACAAAATGTCATTATGATTTATATTAACAAGTATATTTCATATATTAATGATTCAAAAAATGTGTTTATTAGGTGCTACAGATCTACTCTTGTATTTCAAAAACTTTAATTCATCGTTATTAATGTTATAGCCACATTCATCCATATTTTAGCATTGTAGATAATATATGGAGTGCAGGGAAATGGTTAAACTGTTCATGAAGGTCACATATTATGTTCTGATTGCTAAAAACTAATCCATAATAGATCGTTGAATGATATATGATCATCTATTAACTGTCATTGTTGACTGAATGCTATGTATTTATCGGTTTTAGGTTAGTCGTTAACAAAACTTGGATTCTTATTGCATTGATTAGCATAATCATCATTATAACTTTACTGATTATAAAAAAGACAAGAAAATAGGAACAACTAATCCTTGGAAATGTTATGCTGAGTATGCCTATAAATCAGTATTGATAGACTAGATATCTTTACTGGGTTTTCTTTTTTAGCTCATCTCACCTCTTGAATAGTTTTCTGTTATAAACTAACGAATTTTTGTCTTCTCGATTTCTAAAAACTAATTTTATTTCCATACCATCATTAGTAACGGTTTGAGTTATCCTATTGTTAACATTCATGATTGAATTTTGATCAGTTTTTGTTTATATATATATATATATATATGCATGTTATACAAAGTTTTTCAATATAATCACTTTCATCACACGTCTTACAAAACAGATGGATTGTACTTAGTAGTGAAATCCAGAATGTGAGTTACATCCTGTTTGGGACACATCAGGAACTAGATTATTGAGACCCTTACTAATAATGATGTGAAGAGCATACTTATTGAATAATTTTAGGCTTTCTAGACTCAGTAGCTTGGTGTATTTAAGGCTTCGGCGTTCGAATCAAAAGGGACTAGATTTGAGTTTGACTACAAATATCAAATCTGTGTGACGTAGATACATCCAGTTGACAAATTTCAGAAAGAGCGGAACGGGTGTCACAGATTTGCTTGATAGCCACAGTTCAGTATTCCATTTTTATTTTGATCGTTAGTTTCTAGATTTGAAATATTCTGTATGTCTGAATTTCAAAATTTACAGGTTTTTATAAAAACCTCATTTATAATTAAAGTAGAATTCAGTGATATTGTCTACAACGATAATTCGAGTTTCCCGAATAAGTGTGAATACCAGCTTAAACTTCGTGGACATCATTTTCTCAAAAGCGCATTTATTGTCAGAACTATTCCTCTGTTAGATATCTTCAGGAAAGCGATTTTGTCTGCTAATCACTTGCACACATTCATTAAAAAGTTATTGAAGATCTAGTTACTGAGAGTTTCAAGGGTTACTACCGCCGTGACTCAAATATCTTCCTTCTCCTCTGCCCATCAGAGAATCGGGAGGTTATCACCTTCAGATTTATGAAATAAACATGTTAGGCTAGAAAAAGCGATATGGCAGCTGTACTGATCGTAAACATTTATGAATCAATCTAGATAGTAACTATTCACTGTTTATGAATAGCAGCCCATAATTTACTATTCTATCAATGAATTTATCGAATTTCCCCATAATTTGCTGTAATATATGAATGTCACGTTGAAAATTTGTTGAAATTCCTGTTGTCTTAACTAACTTTATATGTAACAGTATTATTACACATCATCATGTCAGTTACACAATTGACCAGTCTAAATGTATAAAAGTGTTTGTGTTTATCTATAAACAAAATCAACAAACCAATTATAAATAGAATTATATGTGCAAATATGGATTCCACAGTCCGAATATACCAATAACTGAATAACAATTTCACCTTTAATATTTATAAATTATTTATAATTATTACAGATAGTTTATTATGGTATGGTTCAACAAGCTACTGGTGAAGATTGGGAAACGCGTTATATGACTTTATCGACTGCACAACCTGGTATAGGTGGCACAGTTCCACATTTAGGCGTACAACGAGTACATTTTCGTAGAGAGTAAGTACAGTTATTTTCTAAATATAATAATTATTTTGGTGTACCTATAGTTTTGTGTTGAATGTTACATCATGATCGGTGTTTCTTATTCATGTTTTCTTTTCGGTGTTGAGAAAAACGCATGATTTGTTAACGTATATATTCTAATAATTATTGGAAATCTTGGAAACTTACATTCAAATTAATCATAACCTTATTCCATGCACGCTAACATCCGCTTCATTGCATAACCTTTTTGTTGCATTACGCTTTTAACTACTTGTGAGTAGCCTGGAGTATTTGTATTAATTTTCACCTACTGCTTTTTAAAAGAGAAAACTGTAGCGTCAGATTGTGACGGAACTAATACACTTTAAATACGATTTCATAACTATTCCACAAAACACTCAAGGAACTAGTGATCATTCATCCTGTACTAATTTGTTTGGTTTACAAAATTGAAAACCTTAGATTTATTTGGAAAGCTTCACCTATATTAAAACATCTGCGATTCTAGTCATAGTTCTATGTATACTAACTTGTTTAGCTAATATATTAGATACTTTTGAAAACTTTAGGGGGGAATAACTGTTTAGTCAACGAAAGAAATGGAATGCATACCCTAGATATAAATTGGTAATTAACATCGTCTAAATCACTAACTTTATTGAAAAGTTACGACCTGGCGCCGTGAGCAAAATTCAGTCTATGAAGAATAATAATCCCAAGAAAAATTCAGAAACCAATTAGTACGAAAACGAAACTTCTTACAAAGGTCACATATCAGTCCTGAATTCGAACTTTCATGGCTTTGGTACCCATTATTAGGGGGTCACGCACAACGTCGAAGAGCCTGTTCAGTGTTCCATAGTTTCCAACGGTACCCTGCTAGAAATCAATCTGTAACGAACGCAACTTATAAGTTAAACCAATTTTCAAAAAACTTCCGGTTCAGATATACCATTAACAAAATTTAACACCTTTCAGTGACGGAAGTTAGTTTCATCTGCTAATAAAACAAAACATCCAGGTCCATCACTAAATTTGAGCCTATACTGATATTAGCCTACTTCATGAGTCGTTTAAACGCAATCAATTAGTAATAAATGCGGTTTTTTCACTCTATTGCTTACATAACTTGTGTTTTAACTCATTACTTGTAAGTTGTCTATTTTCATCTTCTCTTAGTGAGCAGTGTATATTACCATAACTTAACAACGAATTTAGTTTAACAGCTGAGATTTCTGTCAAATGTAAATTTAATTAAAATCAGTAAGAATGTACATCTAGGTATGTACTATTATTAAGTCTAATCTTTAACACTTCATAGTCTATGCATGCATGATATAAATTTTAAATCAAATATAGCTCATGTTTTGTTACACAACTCTTTTGATAATTCCATTCATTGTATATACATATATACATATAGTCATTCTCCAGCAATCCCTATATCACGCAGTGCTATATCATCCACAAGTGTAACAACAGGCTACAATCCCAGTGGAATGACATCAACAACAACATTACCAGCATCAACAGGACACCAAATCTCTGGTGCATCTGCTACAGGAAAAAATACTCGATCATGCACTAAACTAGGTGCATTTAAACGATCTAATCGAACACCAGGAACAAATTTAAATGAAAGCGATCGTGGTGGATCTATGGATAATGAGGTAAAATTATTGATTCTTTTTCCTTAGTTTGTTTTCCTATCAATAAAATACAAAGTGATTTTTGTATTATTGAAGGAAGAGAATAAATTAAGGCGACAGATTAATTACATAATTTAGGTTCTGAATTCGTTTTAATGAAATCGTTAAATATCTTAACCATTGCTTATGTGTTTGTGTGCGTGTGTGTGTGTGTAAGGAAGAATAGTCTAACAAAATTGACACCTCTCTTTTATCATGCATTTGTTCATACTTTTTTAACATAAATAATTCAAGTCTTAATTACTGAAGCTGTTTAACTAAAAAAGTTTACCTTAACCGTGTTATTCCGCTTTACCTGATTTCTATTGACTTTTTCTTGGGAAAAATTAAATTTAATGCTTTATTTTAAATGGTGTTATATGATTTGTTAATTTTGCATTACAAAGTGTGTTTGTATATGCACGTGAACCTCTGTAAGATTGCATATTGTCACTTTCTAATCCTTTACAAATCTAAGTCAGGAAGTAACACTCATTTTTTTCCCAACAGAAAGGGCGATAATTTTGTTTACATCTAAAATATAACATTCTATTTTTAATAACTTACCTTTCCTAACACCGTTTTGTTCCACATTGTCATCATCATCATCATCATAATTCTTCTTCTTCTTCTTCTTCTTCTTCTTCTTGTTGTACTTCTACATTTTCGTATTCGGGTGATGTTCATCAATGCTCATCTATATGTCTTTTTACATCATATTAGCGTATCGCCTGATTCTAGTCGTCAGTTACAAAGTATAGACAAATCTAATTTAAATGAAAAAACATCTCGACTACCATCTGCTGGTACAATTCCTTCTTATTCTAAACGTATTTCTGCCAATGCAGCTGTATTTTATCAAACACCTCCATTGCAACGTTCCGATTTTACGCGTGGATTAAATGATACTATTTCATATGAAATGACTGATCGTCTTTCTGCATATTATGACAATTCAACTGAATATTGCTCTACACTTGGACGAAGTGATAGTATGGCATCAACTACGTTGCATTCATCGCTTGGTCGTCGAAATAAACTACATCCAAGATCGAAATCACGTGAAACAATACGTACTATAACTCAGGTGTGCAAGATCTTGTACACTGTTACATTATATAATGTGATAATTGTGTTTTTTGATGAATGTTTGTTAGTTACTCTTTCAGAGTGAGAAAATTATAAACATGTGTCGTTTATATAGAATTGTATTATATACATTGGTTGATGTTATTTGTCCAATTGTAGCTCATTTTTTGGGTCAGATTGTGTGTTAATAAACTATTTTAAAGTTTCGAACATGAAATTGAAATAATACCAAGCTATAAATGGAAATAATGATAATATTACTGATTTGTCAAGTATAAAACAATTTTGTGTAATTCCATTTGAATTACACTTTTTATGTGTAATAGTTAGCTAATATTACTTAGCTGTTTATATTGAATTAGGTAAAGCTAAGTCCAGACCTGCAACTCCACTGTTTAAAGGTTGAAAATTTCAATTGTTATCCTTTCAGTTGACGCAAATGTTTTCTAAAAAAACAAACCCATAAGATGTAAGATTATGTAAGAGAAATGAAATTTCTTCTATGACTCCTGATGACCTAATCGAAATGATGTAACTTAAAATAATCATTGAAATTCAATCATTAATTTTTCATTTTCGTTATGGGAATTTGTGGAGATAGTGGTATTTTCAAAGTTGAATTCACGAGTTGATCTAAGCTAGACGACCATCAGAAACCTGGAAGCACTGGACGGCCGTTTCGTTTTAGTATGAGACTCCTCGGCAGTGCGCATCCATGATCGGCTCATGAGTTCAACTGTGAAAATGCTACAATCCCCACGAATCCCCCCATGTACTCATTAGTGACTATCTTCAAGATAGATATCCTGAAGTTCTAGTGCAAATCCGTGACGAATGAAGTTCAATCTGTGTCAGGTGTGAGGCAGTTACTCACCGAAAACAATGGATGAAGAGTCGCGCAAGACCATGGATTGATCGAAGTTAGACATTACCACCGTTGGATGCCAGCTCAATGGTCTAGAGGTTAGGCGTGAGACGGAAGGTTGTGGATTGAAGTTTCACGTGCAGGGTCGTGGATGCGCACTGCTGAGGAACCCCAAACTAGGAAGCATTGTCCGTCCAGTGCTTCCAGGTTTTCAATGGTGCTCTAGCTTAGATAGACTCGTGAATTCAATTTTTCATTAGTCAAGGAAAGCATGCCAAACTGAAGTTAATTTAATCTTTATTAATGATTAATAAAATTAATTTATTACACATTAACATTTATTTATAGACTGACTATGATTAATTTAACCTACCACATACTTTATTCATACCGTTAAACAATGTATGATATATATGTCTGATTAAGTAAGATTTAATATTTTTATATTTAAACATTGATCTACAAAGTGCCTTTTTTCTGCCTCTAAATCTATTTAAATCATGAACTATTTGAGAGGCTGACATTTATATTCAATACATAACGGTTCTTTTCATAATAATATTTTGGTTATAAATGCTAAAATAAGTACAGTTTACTGTTTGGTAACCAATTTCATGCTTTTCATACTTTAGTGCTAATCAAATTTCAGTGTGACCACTAGTCTGGGTGATTCGATATCTTGTGCACTATATTTCAATGATAAGTGGTTAAAACTAGTTTACAGAAAACACTGGGCCTATATTTCATACTAGTTGTCACTCGTTAGCAACCCTTGTCTAGTCTTAACAGAACCTCAGTAACTGACACAGGATATGAGCAAATGCAGTAAAGGGGTGTAAATCTAATTTACTAACAAGGCGTTATCATTTAAATAATGTTATCTCATGAAAATTAGTGCTTCTGTTCAAATGATTGAACACATGGAGGTAGTAAGGAGAATTAAGTGAAATAATACCGGAAGTAATTAACTAACGAGAAGATCGAGAGAATATGAGAAATAATTTTACCAGATGAGGTCATTTTCAAATATAATCGTATCAAAAATGAAAACAATGATGACATAGGGTTTAGGTCAAGATAACAAGCAAAATGAGACATTTTTTCCGTACGGAGATCTCATAATACGGATGGCGGAATGCTTGTGTTATTTGAAGGAATTCGAAATAAAGAAGTTTCAATAAATATGATACAGAATAAGGGGACAGTTTTCCAGCCGTCTTACGGTTGGTCAAGCCTTATCCGATGAAGCCGATTGGGTTTTTTTGGAAATGGCCTCAGTTTTTCAAGGCTCAGAAATCCACTGCGTGGACGTAATTGTGTGGGGAAATCGTCATTCCCAGGTCTTGGCTGGTGGGCGTCTACATGCATACGAGTAACACATAAGTTTTCACTCTTGGATCTCATAACATACATATACTTATATTCACCAACCTAGGAGGGTAGGTGGTCATCACTCTCTTTTAACGCATTTGCTACAGATGACTGTCACTTACGCATTACATGTATATCGCTGGTATAATGACTTTGACACTTGCACTTCATGACATTTACGTAAGCGTAAGCACTCTTTCATGAAGGGTTGATGGTCACTTCTCCCTAGTATTCGTAGCCATACTTTTTTATTATGGTTTTGACCTCATGTATTAGGCTGCTGGTTTTATCATTAATAAGGCAGACATTATTTAATTCACATTCCTCGTGCCAGCCCAGGCACGTACCCTTTGGATATGCCAATATACATAAACCACACAAGCCGGAACTCATGCAATTCATACACATAAGCATTAAACATCGGGCAGCCCGTAGGACTTTTGGTGAGCCCTGGAAATAAGGGAACCAGTTAATCCGGTTTACAGCACAACAAAGAATTAGCCTGATCTCCGTCGACCGCCCAAACTAACCAAAAAGGTTGCCCCTATTGTCCAGCAGCACCGCGGGGAGATTTTAGTTCGAATTTTGCTGCCGATAAATAGGTATTCTAAGTTCAACCATTTATCTCGGCATACTCATATATCTCTGATATGTAATGAACCGTTTATTTATTGGGTTGTATGGTTATTTTTAAAGCTATGCTTAATAAATATATTTTGAAGAGTTCAAGCGGTTAGCAACAATATCTTTGTTGTTGTCGTTAATAGATCCGGTTATTTTAAATTTCTTTAAAAATTATCTAAATTTATTTTGTACAGTATCTTTCTTGTGCTGTTTAAATTGTCATTTCTTCTTTGATTTTAAATTGTAACGTCGACTTTTAAATTTGATATTGGTTCATTTCTGTGTTTATTGTATTCTTATTACTAATAGTTATGCTGTGAATTATTAATTAATTATTCAAAGTTATTTCCCGCTCAATTCATTTCATTTGGTAGTCAATGTGTTATCAATTTCTTTATTGAATTTAAAGACAAATGGGGTTCATTTAAGTGCTTACTCGATTGTTTTTTTTAATGATTATTGATCAGAGATCGTTTATTGTATTATAGATTGATTAATGCACTTACTATTATTATTATCATTATTATTACCAAGTTATTGACTTATAAATCGTTCACGCATTTGACTGAAAGAATAGAATAATTTATTATTAGATTACATCTAGAATAAGATAGTTGTGCAATATCATGGATTATTTGAACTTAGACATTAGCATCGTTAGATGTTGGCTCAGTGGTCTAGAGGTTAAGCGTTTGCACAAGAATAAAGGTCTCACGTGTGGGATCGCGGATGTACACTGATGAGAAATTCCATAGTAGGACAAAATGGCCATTCACTGCTTCCAGGATTTCAGTGGTAGGCTAATATTGATCAGTTCATGATCTCAATAAAATAGAATAGAATGAACATATTTTTTAAATTTGATTTTATGAAAGGCTAATTTATTTCAAATGAGTATAGATTTAATAAACGGTAAAATTTTTATTTAAATCAAAACAAAATATAGAGTGGTCGATGGTAATTGGTAAGAAACTCTAGACATAGATTTCAGATTAGTCAGTACTCGACGTCAAGGTATATCTCTAATCTAGAGGGAATTCATGCTCTCTGGTAGATTCAAATACTAGTCAATACGTCTTACAGTTTAAGATATGACCACCGAGCTATTCGGATAGTGACTAACTTCCTGTAGGACTGAGGTATCTACATTAATTAGTAGTTGACAATATTATTTTAGTTTAGTCTTTGGTCATAAAAGAAATATATTGTGAAAAAGTAAGTAATAAATTGGGTTAATGTCCAGTATCCTCTAACTTTCAATTGTTTTTCAACTGAATGACAATTTCAAGAAAAAAATCACTTTCGAGCTAAAGTAACTTTAACTAAACTAAAGTTTCAACTAATTACCTCATTATTTATTTATATAACTATTAAGAAACACATTTTTTTTAATCAGAAGGGGGTTTTGTGGAGATTGTAGTGATTTTAATAGTTGAACTCATGAGTCAATTAAAGCTAGACCGCCATGGAAAACCTGGAAGCATTGGACGGCCATTTCGTCCTAGTATGGGACTCAGCAGTGCACATCCACAATCCCACGAGCGGGATATATATATATATATATAATATCTACCGGACAGATGAGTTGGTAAAGTAATTCTTAATAAACAATCAATGATTAAATTACATAAATATTTTCCTTAATTACATTTATTAAAAGACTTATATGACTTAAGTATACACTTCATTAAAATATATATTATTATGTCACTTTTTTGGGAAACTTTATGTTAAGGCATAATTGGTCTAACTGCTTTAATAAAATACGAAATCCATATGCTGAATGTTTTATTTTGACACCTTCCATCAGTTGTCTTTTACATTCTTCATGATTCTTTCGATTTCGTTGTTATTACAATTGTTCTCTGTTTCCCTTCCTTTTCTCTTCAATTCAATCTTCTCTATCTTCTGCTAGCACATATTCCACTTCTGATTGTTGCTGTATACTACATATATCTGTCAACATAAGTAGCATCCACCAAAATATTGCTTATTTATAATAGCATAGAAGTTTTTTGTATTAATAAGTTAGTAAAATTCATCATATACAAAAACTGGTTATTTGATTATAGGAAATGAAATAATGCTTTCATTCTCTTATAACTTTTAGTTAGCATTACGACGGATACAAAGTCCATGAAATAATGTACCTTTATACACGCCTAAACATACGACCAGGTAAATAAAAATACTATAATTAAAGATGGATAATGGTTAGCGGTGGAATCCAAGACGCGCGTTTCGTCCCATTTAGGACTCGTCAGCTGGATATACCTGCATCTCACTGTGCATCTTTACCTATAATGTTTGTGAATTAAGATAATATCGAGGCAATGCGCACAGTTTGCACATATGCTAATAAGAGACTAATGAATTTCATTCTTAAACATCAATGGGAAGATTCAAGTAAACAATACTAAGTAAATTTGAATACTTCAATCATTAAGCAAATGCTTAATTCATTGTAACATACTATTCAATAACGCTAATGAATCTGCAATAAATACTTGAATATAAATGAATCTGTGAATAGTTGAATTAGAACTTGAAAATTTTATTACTTCTTAATTTCAACAATTTTATGACTGCTTCACTACTATTGGTTCATAGTCTATTTGATCAACGAATGTAAATTGAATTTAGAAATGAGAACAGTTATGTACTAACACAATAGTCAAAATGTTAAGTCCTAACCGCGTAACTTGAAGGTTCTGGGTTCAATTCCTAGTTGCTTTTGTGTATGTACATTGCTTGGGTGTTGTTCAGTGCTTCCTAGTTTTCCATAATTGTCTAAATTAGCTCAATCCTTGATGTAAACTATATAATTCGATAGTCTTCACAAACTTCTTTTACATAAATGTTTCACATGTTATCGCACTCCTAATAATTACCGAGTTACTTCTTTTTGTTTAACCATATAATTTAAATTGTATGATATGGACATTAAGTAATTACTATGTTTATGTAGTCTTTAATCAAACTGAAAATTAAGTTAACTGTTTGAAATGATTTTGAATGAGAATGAATGGGAAGAAACAACTGAATACAATAGACGAATTATTATAAAGTAGACAGATATATTATGTTAGTTTACTGTAATGTTTATCTCCAAGGAAATGCTATATACACCAGATCTTAAATATTCTTTTCAACGATTACTTACACTTTATATAGTATCTAAGTCGAAACTCATTGAAAATTCGACTAAAAAAACTTTATATGGTCGTGATAATTGGAACCTTAATTATGAAATTCCCAAACTTTTTAAACATTTACAGGATGTATGAATATTTACCATTTTAGATAACAGTAATAAAATGATTTAGTTAAACATTTGCTTTGAATATAAGTGAAATGAACGAATTTTTACTGAACAGTTTTTCCAATAGTATCCGTATTAGAAGGACTATATCTGTATCATTTTTATTGTAAGTTAAAATCAGCTTTTATATTAATCCTCAACGATTAAAACTGCAAATAAAAGTAACGTTGACAAAATCTATAAGAGACAGGCTAGTAATCATTAAGTTTACGTAGTAAATCAACCGGTTAATACAAGCTGTTTTTAGTAATCAGTTATTAGGACCGTAGTTCGTAATTAAATGCAATAAATATTATGGTTACTTAATATTTAGAATTTTTGTCTCTTCATAAACAACTTGACTCACAAACTTAGGTTTACATCGTTATATTAAGTTAAAGTAATATACACTATCAATAATTTTTATACTTCTCATTTTGTTTTCAGCGTGATGGTATCACACCATCTGGAACACTGCAACGTGGTGGTAGTATTGAAAGTACTTATGCAACTGGATTACGTTCCTCTAGCACTAGACCTATCAGTAGACGTACATTAGGATCAAGTATGTTGTTCAACTCCGTCACTTCTCAGAGTCCTTTGTTATCAAATCGAATTTCTACTTTAATGAATTCACAACCTGCACTATTGCCTACATCACAACAATCTGCACCGCCTGTTGGAAACAGTTGCAACGATACAACTGGAGGTCCCACGACCCCCGGCAATAATTCGGTGTGATAACGAACCTAATCGTGTCACTGTCGGGTTGTTAGATTTACAACCACGTTATGAATACGTAACTGTGCCAAAGCGTTCTTTGTATGCTTATTTAAAAGCGACAGCCGTGAACAATACGGAGTTTTCTATCTTGGCTGGTCCAACTAACATATATGCTGATAATACTTTTATTGGAAAAGTAAGTCATTTATTATTATCTTTGTATCGATATTAACAATTATATTCCTAATATCATATATTTTATTGTGAAGACCTAATATCATAGGTCATTCTGGGATTGTGGAGAATATCTATATCTCAGGATGAGGATTTTGAATGTGTATTGTTCTCTGATCTGATGGTTTAGTCGTGAATATTTCATTGTCTCTCTCGATAACATCATCAGTAACGTGAGTTTTCAGAATTTCGCCACAACTGAATAGCTGTTTATTCTGTTGACTTAGAATTTGGTTACTTGTTGTCCATATATGTTTGACCATTGTTTGTGTTTGTTTTGATCATTTTCACCTCCAACCTGGTCTTTGAACTTGAAGACATTGGAATTTACAAGGTCTATCAGCCACAAGGAAAAAATGAACGAATCGAGCGAGAAAAATTTCTTTTCAATTAGTTTGTCACAATGGCTCTACACTAATATATATATATATGATTTACAATAATGAAATAATACTCGTCGAGTGGAAAAAAGATGAACAACTCCAAGGTCATAGGCCAGTCTAAAGGTGAAAATGATCCAAACAAACACAAACAATGGTCAAACATATATGGACAACAAGTAACCAAATTCTGAAAACTCACTTTACTGATGATGTTATCGAGAGAGACAATGAAATATTCACGATTAAACCATCCAGTTCAGAGAACAATACACCTTCAAAATAGGTCAATCTTTCAATTACTACTTTGAGTCATGACTGGATGCCATTACTACTGTTCGCAGATAAATTCTATTTACGAGCGGATAGCGTTCTTTTTCACCAAAGATTCAAACAAAAATCATTGGAATATGCTACTGTAAGTTTACAGGAAACTGTAGTAATTAGCGCTCTCACTGAATAGTAGCCACTTTGCTAGTTGTCGAACCTGTCTGTAAAGTGCTCATAAATCAAATCACCTTACTCTTGTGCAATTATCAATGCGATATATATTGAAATTCTAAATGCCAATCATAGATCACAACCCGCCTAGTTGTGACAGCGGACATCACGATTAAAAGGTTAAACCATAATTGGCAACTTTAGTTTTAACATTATTTACCTACTTAAGCTTGTTAGCCCTGGTGAAGCATGGGCTGGCGACCAGGATTTTCCAACCGACTCTGTCCTCCATTCTTCATTTCAGTTGTTGTCAAGTAATATTCATTCTTCTGATGCCTGCCCCCAATTCCCGCCACAATGTGTTTTTCCGTCTGTCTTATTTCCTTTAGTTTCTTTTAGTCTTTGAGATGCGGTTTTATGATTTCCTTAATGTATGTCCTATCTGCCTCCAAAAACGCTTCTTAATTTCCTCTTCACCTGGAAGCTGGTTTGTTCTCTCCCACAGTGTGAACTGCTGCTGATAACACTCAGCAAGCAAATCTGTAGTAACTTGAGTGGACAGCTGTTTACAAATACCCGTACTTTTGATGATGGTTGTAGTTCTCCAAGTTTCAGCTCTGTACGATAGAACTGTCTAGACACTTGTACTGAAGACTGACCTTGTTGACTGTAAGTTTTTTTAAGTTCCTTATGTTCTTCAATCATAGGAATTCTGCTCCTATTTTGCCAATCCGTGCCTTCATATGTACATCAGATCCTCTTAACTATGAATGAATGATTGAATTGGTGTTCATCATGTCGTACTTCACCACCTCGCTTTTGCCCTTGTGAATTTTAAAGTCTACTTCTGAAGAGGCTGCTACTACACTGGTTGTCTTCACCTGTATTTGTTGCTGTTCATGGGAAAGAAGAGCTAAGCCATCTGCAATGTCCAAATCTTCTGGCCTCATCCAAGCCGCCGATTGTATTCATGCTTTCCCCGAGATGTGGAGGTCTTCATAATCCAATCAACCACCGGAAAAAAAGTAAAAGTGCGAGAGTAGACAGCCTTGTTTGACATGGATCCTCATTTAGAATGCACCTGTCAGCTATCCTCCATGCACAACATTGCGATGTAGTCCGTCGCATGAATTCTATATGCTGGTTACGATCTCAGGCACACCATATTGTCGAAGAAGGTTCCATAATGTTCTTCTGTCCACACTGTCAAATGCTTTTTCACGGTCAAGAAGGTTGGTGTATAGTGACGAGTTCCACTCAACTAATTGCTCAATAATGATCCCTAATGTTTCGATTTGGTCTGAACATCTTTGCATGTTTGTAGTTACCTCTATGTCTGACTTAAGTGCTTCAGCTGGTGTGTTGTCTGGTCCTGCTGCTTCCCCATTCTTGATTTATCTGATGGATACGCTAATTTCTCCGATTATTGGTGGGATAACATCTACAGTAAGTTCTGTGGGGTATATCGATGTCCAAGGTGTTCAGTGGAGCTGATCTACTCAAGAGTTATTTGAGGTGCTCTAGCCACCTGTTCCGCTGCTCTTAGATCTCAGCGATTGGCTTGGTTTCTTTGTTCTTGACTGGTCGCTCTCTTTCACCAAATTCCCTAGGTAGTTTTTTCGTTGTAATGTAAAGTTGTTTCATATTTCCTTCTCTTGCAGGTCTTTCCGCTTTGATTACTAGGTCTTCCACGTACTTCTGCGTCCAAGTTTTAATGCTCTTGAACAGGGTTGAATTGATTGAGTTTATCAGAATCTGAAAGAAAAGTTGTATTAGACATTTGTAATGCTGTTTGTGCAGTTGTCCAGCACTTTTTAAGTTCCAGGTTTAGCTTGGCCACCACTGTGCTGATCTGGAGCTATATCAGTTTCTTGCCTTTTTCCTACATCCTTCATGAAACCCATGTAACTTAGCGTATGCGTTTATGCGGGAATGTGATGCCATCTGTAACCGTTTTGTCGAAGGCACATAGATTTGCAAATCTCTCACCACTCTGATTCCTTTCTGCGAATACATGTCGTCCCATGATGTCTTCATACCCGATTGTGTCCATTCCGACCTTGGAGTTTAGGTCTTCCATCAGGACGTTCAGGTCATATCCTGGGCACTATTCTACAATCGACTGCAGCCTCTTGTAAAGCTGATCTTAATCATCATTGTTTTCATTGGTGGGTGCATCGCACTGGATAACGTTCATCATAATAGCCTTCCTCTTTGTTTTGTAGGACACTTTGTTGATCCTAGATTCATGAGATTGCTATCCTATAAGTGCTTATCGTGCTTCTTTGGAGGGTGTCAGTGCAACTTATTGTGTGTACGAAGCTTCATCTTCTTCATGACTAGAGTGCGACAGAACTTCTCTCAAAGCTGATCTTTTCTGTCCAGCTTCCATCAAACGGCCTTCACTTATTTCGAGTACCAACAGTTTGTTTTTCATTTCTGCAGCTATTTGAATAGTCCTCCAAGTTTCCAACACTGTCCGGATATTCCACTTACCTATGTGAATCGTTGCTCTGGCTGTTAGAAGGTGCATAGGTATCGTGATTTCCTGAGAATTTCGGCTTTGACCATGAGGTGTTATAACTCGGCTACATGAAAACTCACCAACCCATGAACAGAGTTTAAATGGTTAGAATGACTTTTCTAGTTAGCTTTTTTTTCTTGACAAGATTGTTTTCTATGGGACGGAGTTGCTAACCCCATGTCCATGAGACCGTCAATAAGCCCAGAAGATCGATATGTAGAGTTATTTTTTACATAATAAAGCTATATTATTTGAAAATGTTTCATTTGCACCTCATTAGGACTAAATGAGTTCTGCAAATAAATGTGACCTTCTTTAAAATTTTCTTCTTAGTCTGAAATACGTGCTGTCGCCCCAGGCGAAGAGTTTAATTGTCACTTAGGCGCTGAGAATGGTATAAAAATACTGTATCGCCCATTATTCAAATATCGTGAAGGTACCGGTTCGAGTGGAAAAAATGCTACAATGACATTTAAACAATTAATTGAAGTTCGTAATACATTTGATCGTCGTGTACGTCTAATGGTTGTTGATCAAGTTCCAGTCAGTGCAGAGGATAAAATTAAAGTAAGAAATTCTTTCTGCTTTTGATCCCTGTTTTGTTTTTGCCTAATTTTTTTCAGAATAATTCACTTTATTTCCTTACTCCTTATCAAATATCAATCATTTGAGTAATTTTATTAAAACCACTGATAAAAACAATCGTAGTTGGGTCATGTAAGATGTTAGCTTTAACGATCGTGATATGTTTGGTACTTGAACCCTACTTTTCTACCACTTCCTAGCCCCACCCAGAAAATCCCATATACCTGAGCTCCAAACTGAGTATAAGAGAAGTATAAGTAGAATTTCTATATATTTACAGTTATGAAAATGAATTCGTCCCAAACTATTACTCATGTTTCTTAAAACATTACTATGATAATTTGTAATCCAAATGATATCCAATAGTTTTCCCTTGATTAGCTAGGATAGAACATTTCCTAATTGTAATGACGATAAATAACCAGTATTTTAAAAATTATCCTCTTATATAACTTGTTGTAAGTCAGCTTGTAAGTCTCATTTTAAATGTTCAAGTTATTATAAAAACGACTATCAACAAAGAGATAATGTAGATATATTTTATAAAATAAGTTAAAGTGTTGACCGACTTTCAGGCTTTTTCTCATGTCATATTGTTCACAATAGTTTGGCTATGCACTATAATCTGAACGCCTAAAGTATATTTTTTTATTTCATTGGGACCCAAACCCTAAAAATTTAAGTTAAGAACCCAATAGCCCAATTCAATTACCTAGGGTCATTGATTCTATGTCTTGATTCTCATTCTAGTTCTAGGGTTGTAGATATTACAAAATAGGCATTTTCATAGTTCAATTCATGAGTTGATCTAAGCTAGACCACCAATGAAAGCCTGGAAGCACTGGACGGCCGTTGTTTTTTCCTAGGGCGGGACTCCTCCAGTGTTTCCAGGATTTCAGTGGTGGTCTAGCGTTCATCGGTTCATGATTCCAATGAAATAATACCACGATTAAAGATGTTTCAATGTAGAAAATTATGTTTTCGATGGTATTATTTCACATGGTAGCTTAATATCAAATAGAGGAATTTCATTTCATTGAAAAAATTAATCGAAGGTAACTGAACTTTTTCTGATATAGAATATGATAATCTATCAAAAAATGCATAGGTATTGCATTATTTTTCATAAAGCAATCAAAAATTAGGAATAGTTTCCAAGTTATGTAATAATCTTAGAAGTAGTAAATAATGATAATTTTAAAAAAAGAAATACGAAAAATGATTATCTACTTTAAAAATATAAACGTGAACAATAAGATAATAATTAACACTAACAAATTGAAAAACTATAAGCGGGTACTAAGATCATCGTAGAATAAGGGATTGAACACTTTTGTACACAGGGATGAGATATGGATTAATGGTTTGTCAAAACTACAACAGTGTACAAGTTTTCGAACTGAACTTTCTTTGTTTTTGATTAAGATCATGAACCGATTGATGTTAGACTACCACCTTTGGAAACCTGGATGCACTGGACGGCCGTTTCATCCTATTGTGGGACTCCTCAGCAGTGCACATCCACGATCCCGCTCGCGGGATTAGAACCCAGGGCTTTCGGTCTCGCGCGCGAATGCTTAAGCAACTGGACCACTGAGCCGGCATCCAGTGGTGATAGTATCTAGCATCAACCAATCTACGAAATTGCGCGACCAACTTCCGTTGTACTGAGGTAGATACCTGTCTCTACCCGACATGGATTAGCTCCACTGGTCACAGCTTCTCACTAGAACTCTGAGAAACGGCCGTCCAGTGCTTCCAGGTTTCGAAAGGTGGTAGTCTAACATCAATCGGTTCATAATCTCAATCAAAAACTTAATAATCTCCACAAACCCTATACTGTTAATTGAACTTTCTTTGAACAAGTTCTTTCGACTTTTTAGATAATATTGAAGAATGAATCTGGTAGCAGTATGTGACCAGGGTTGACTATATGTTTTAGAATTACCCGTCAACGACATGAGTTTTTTTTGTAATAAAATATTATTGAATAAATAAATAAATAAGATTGTTTTTACAATATCAATTATTTCCCATTTTAATTGTACACTAATTAGGTTAGCCTTTTAGAGCCAACAATTAAACATCCAGAAAAATATGATAAAAATAGACCAATCAGAATGAATAAATTCAATAATGTTGAATGGGACTTGGATCTAGGTCCAGGTGAGTTAAATTTTTAAATAATGTCATTGTAAACTTGGGAATTTCCAATAACGTGATTGAAATTCAGATTAGAAGATTTCTTCAATTAATCTCTAATTTACAATATATACTTTACTTCATGTTAACATATTCGAATTCTAATCCCTTAACCAAAGGGTTGGTTCAATAATCGATAAACTATTAAAAATCACATAGTTACATAATACAATATGGCTTTCAGAAATCGTGAGTAGATAAGGTTAACAGCTGATTTCAACGTAGCGAGTTATGAACCAGTTTACAATTGATTGACCATTGAATAGTAAACAATGTCTTTTTTGTAGTCCTTTGGAGTTGATTGAATTCTGTTGATCAAGTTCTAATTGAGCCACTATTCTAAGTGAATCGAAATTGTATACACTATATTTTAATGTTATGCATTTGAATGCAGATGGTTGGAAGCTGGATGAAATTGATTCAAACTTCACAGAGAATATTAATTCCCCCAAAAAGTGCTGATACGCCTTCCTGACTAGTGACAATTATCGTGAAATATATTTCAAAAATTTCGTACCGATTTACCTTCAATCATCTAACTTACGAACCAGTGTTTATAAATGATCTTCTTTGCCCAAAGGATTTTGTAAAGATATTTTGTATAACTTGAGGGTAATTTTCTTCACGAATTGACGTTAGTTGTGGGAATAATAATAAGCTTCATAAGGTTCCGAAATGGAAGTTGTGGATTAAAACAAATTGAGAGTAAGTCATTGATAACACTGGAAAAAGATCATTCATTATCATAAATTGATTGAATCTGAGACCATGAACGATTGGATTTCAACTCAGAGTTTTTATATTAGACTTTGTTTAAAGATGTCAGTGATTACTGGTGAGGAGTTTCAAAAATGGATGTAACATCTGTCCACTGTTGTTTAGTTCCAGTAGTTGTACAGCTAAAGTCAAATCGTTGTAAATACCACATTCAAAATAATCTTTTATATTTTCCGTTTAACCAATACAAAGATAATTTACAATTATTAATAATTTAAGCTCATTTAAATTAACTTCTCTCTATGGAATGGTTTTATTAAATCATATTCAAATTTATTAAGCAACATAACCTGAATAATCATATCCACTCTAGATGCGTGCTCAAACGTCTCTTATATGTAATAATTATAGAGCTATTTTACTAGTTGTATGGCTGATGTACTCAGTTTTGAAACACATTTCTGTGTAAGCTAATGATATCACATGAACTTGCTAACCTGAATTAGATCGGACGTGATTTGAACTTAAAATATACTAATTAAATGCTAAATATTTTAACCATTAAGTTACCAAAGGTGCTTTTGTTTTACATAATAATCAGTAATTGAGATAAATTGTAATGAAAATGTATTTGAAATATGAATACTATAAATGTTGTGTGAACATTTTGATGGTTAATCTTTTAAACTAACTTACACTGTTGAGTTTTCAACTGTTGTCTCTTTCTGTAATATTTTCCTGAATAGAACGTTATAGATATTAACTTATCCATCATAAAACTAATCAACTATGTATTTTGATCATTCATATCAATTATAAATCACCAGTGTAGAAACGTCGTAACTATCCCCAAGTATGCTTTATATATATATATATATATATATATATATATATATATATATATATATATATATATATATATATATATATATATATTCAAATGCGGATATCAGAGATGCATACATTACAGTGATATAAATAATGGGTGTTGATGGGCGCAGTTTCTAGTATTCTTTACATGTGAGTATAGAAAAAGCAGACAAGTCCATACATCCCGTAAATACACATAGACATAGAAGTTTCCACTCGCGAGTGTATGACACATGCACATATAGAATACATAAGCCTAGGTTCATGCACTCCATAGTATACACATAGGCATAGAACGCTCCAGGCCCCTAAGCCCAGCAGCATTTTCACTGAGTGAATATCGAGTATTCAAATCAGTATGTAAATAGTTCGTCATAAACGATGTGCTCACTTAACGCTCTTACCACAATTCTATTTAGTGTCGACTAGTGTGCACTGATTACGGCACAGATTATGGCCTACTCTTTGGCCCTCCCCTACCAGACCTCGTAGGCCCTTCTAGACTAGTCTTTTCAGACACCAAGAGGAAACGTTTCTCCAATGTCTCAATCGCACTCCCGATTCATGTCGACTTCTCTTCTCATGTAATCAAAATTAACACACAGTGGGTGATTATCCCGATTTCCATCTGACTGCGGATTGGTTGGTCGGTTCGATCTCCACCTCGCCGCTTGCGTTAGTTCATGTTGAAAGAGATCATCCACTATCCATTGAGCACTACGTGGAATCGCAAGTCGGACTTTGTCCCCCAATAGTATGGTGCGCTGTAATGAATGTTGGATATATGAAAACACTGCCCATGAATCAATGAATTTCAATCTATCCCATTCTTTAATTTACATGGTTAACATGGTTTTATGATTTTCAGCCTTTTATATCCTCACTAAATTATAGATTTTGATTAAAACAAGTTTTCCTCATACCAATCAAATCAAAGACCTTCAAGTTAATCATTAATACAAATGACCGTCAGAAATTAATTGACCTACTCAGCTCAATGATAAAAGGTATGTGAATAAAATGCGTAATAAAAGGAATATTGTCAGCGTAATTAAAGATCAGAAATTTTTGTGAAGTGAAACGAAATGAATTGTAAATCATGAATGGGGAAAGACAGGAATAAATAAATTAATTAATTAATAGAGGGTTTGACGCAATTATTTCTTGGGATTTTTAAAATATTTTACTGCAACATATACTTTTTTTTCCTTTACCTAGGTGAAATTCGTGAATTAACACTGAAATATTCAGTGGAGCATCCAATCAATGAAGATTTAGACGTTTCTGTTTCTGAAAACTAAAAAAAATAGCAACAAACTGGAGCATATTCAATTGTTACAATATACATTTGGGTTTTCATTGTAGAAGGGGAAAAGGAATCTGGGATTTTATCAGACGTATTCCTTTCTGATTTTTCTCATTTTATTATTATTATTATTATAATCATTGATCATTGGTAATTAAAATATTGATAATAATAATTACTATTATTATTACCATTATTATTACTATTATTAGCATTATTATTGCTTAACAGTTTATTTCAATTTCTTTTCGGTGCTTTTTCGCATTATTTCTATTGAAATAGCTTATGCTTCAATAATTTCGTTGTTGTTGTTGTTGTTGTTGTTGTTATTTGATACTAAGGGATCCAGTTCGATTGATACTATTCATTTCGAATACCCACTTCTACATTATACTAAAAACAAAATAATAATAATAATAATAACTCATTTTTAATACCCGAATGATATCAGCGCACATATACTAATTATTATACAAATAAATTGGGATGGAACTAGTCTAAAATTGCACAACAATAAACACAATAACCATGATAGCAACTAAATGGTATATTATTGATTTCTAAAAACAAAAATTATCGTCGGTGTAATCATTTAATAAATTCTTTCTGTGTTTCAATATGGTTATTAATTTTTTTGAATGTTCAGTTTTGTTCTGTTGTTTTACGCATAGTACTAACATATTTAATTTTATTTTATATTCTTATATATAAAAATTAAATTTAAATTTTACCGCTTGTTATTTGTATTGCTTTAAAGGGTGATTATTATTATTATTATTATTATTATTATTATTACTGACGTCATTACTATCTACTATTGTCTGCCCTACAATTGTTGTGGCACTGTTTATATACAGTGAAATAATTAATCTACAATCTCTGATGTAATATTATGTCATCACAACTACTTAAAACAATCTTTCTATGCCCTAGACCTACCCGTGTACACTGTACGCTGGAGGTAAGTTTATCAAAAAACAGTGACACAGACACTTAAATCTAAGTAATCTAATATCAACAAATAATAGATTACAGCTTTATATGCTGAGTATTGATTTCGTGGGACTACTCTATTTGTCATTTATTTCATTCATTGACTTTGAGTGTATAAGAGTGTGTGTGTGTGTCAGTAAATAAAGACATTGGAATAAGGATTAGAGCTCTGTCAATGTTGTTAATGTCATGGTTTATGTTAATTATCCATTCGTCATGAAGTTGTCTTTTTTCAAGGTTACGGACGTATTTTACTATTCTGACCATTATGAATATTACTACTGTTATTATTATTATTATTGGTATTAAAATATTTAATATTATTATTATGAGCTGCTTTGAAAACACTTAATAAACTAATCAATTTGCCTGATAACTTTCAATCTGTTGTTGATTTCTTTGAAAGGTTAGATAATCCAATTAGGAGACGAGTTTATCAGAACCATGTAACGAATGAAATAGCGTGATATATTTCGAACAGCAATTCGCGCATGCATAAACTTGTCCATAAAACATCAGTGAAAAATATAAACGTCAGACTAAATAAATTGGGAAATAAGTGAAAACAAAGGTAATTGATAAAAGTAATGTAAGCCACATCACTCTGGATAGTAAATTAATATTAGCAGAGCATGTTTGATGTTAGTATAAATGGTTTTTGAACATTCATTGAACTGGGTGGCTGGAGATTTTCATGTTGTTTAGGTTTCAACAAAATTCAGTATTCGTTCTAAACAATTTTAATTGAAAACCCTGAAAGCCAAGTTAAGATCATCCTTATAACCAGTTTCAAATATGTTTGGAGATGGACGAATGTGGGTATTTTTCACCGATTTGTAGATCATTTACATTATTCGTATTAAAAACCATTTTGGTACATTTTCAGCCACCTAAAGTTGAAAGTCACGATTTATTCTACATATGTCTGATTCCTTGAATTTTGATCTTAAAATATTTCTGGTTTTAGAAACTTAATCCATTTTGAAAGATCGTCAAATTTTCACTATATGTAAATATCAAGCATTTGATATTTCCCAAAGTTAAACCAAGGTTGAAGTCAGATAAGAACAGCAATGGCCTTCTAGTTATAATTTAAACAAAAAATCTGCTGAGCATGTACGTCAGTCTCGTTAATCAAATAGTTTTCAGATTGTCCTTCAGGTAGCAAAAATCGTCTTTTTATGCCGGAAAAAAACGCTGATCACTTATAGTCGGAACGAGGGACCACGGCAATTCCCGCGATGCGAAAGTAAGGACACGAGACTGGTATAAGTAAAGATTTATTAGCCCCAAACACTATGACAACGACGAATCAAAATAGTCTAAAATACACTGATTTATATATTGATTGTACACCCATTTTGATTAATGATTAAATTACATACTCAGTTATAACAAATCACTCACTGAGCATAGTTCATATCAATTGAATACAAGAATATCGTATATTATACAGAAGAAAATATCATACTGGGAAAACAATCAAATACTACACTAAATGATTTTCATGTTGAATCGAAACGGATGTAATGTTGAATAAAACTCATAATGAGTAATTCAATCGAAAATTGACTTTTCTTTCCATCATATCAAGCAATAATTAATCTGCTGGGTATAACTCGGGTCCTAACACGTTTTTTGATGAATATTCATATACTACTTACCATACTTGCAGTAGCTTTTTAAATGAACTTTCGCAATATTTTACGTTATAATTGCTAATTACTTCAAAATACCGTATCTTGACTTTTAACATGAATATTATTAATGTTAGGCTATAAGGTATACAGAAAGATAATTTACAATGATAAAGATTAATTCAATAACAGCCAAACTGGTAATACTAAGGCTAAATCATTCTACATAGGACTCAGATGTTTCATCATGGATGTCCGTACAATACTAAACTTCACTGTAGTTACTTGGCATTATTTAATCATTCACTAATGATCGAATTTTCAAAATACATATAGGGTTAGTATGCACATAAACTAATCAAATATATTCTGCTTGAACTAATCATTCACTCAGTGATATACTTATCTTATCGCTCTTATACTTCGAGCATTTCTACAGATTAGTAGATTTTATACATTCGAACTTGTTCTATCAACACAAAATATGGAACAGTAGTTAATGACGTCGTTGTGATCAATGAAAGGTGATTCTAGCATCTTTCAACTGAAGATTATTAATAACCAACTCCACTAAAAACACCACAATTTTTTCTTACCCATTTTGTATGCGAGGAAGATTAGATTGTCACTAGTTCAATTCCTGGTATAGTTGTTGATATACTATTCTGACAATTCAAAAACTGTTACGAAATATTTGACTGGTATTTCATGTTTTCCACAGATTTTCTAGCTGATATCAATCCTTTAGGAACTAATTTCTACAAATAACCCAAAATATGAGAAATAACGTAGAATATTACCTCACTTTTTCTGCTATAAAGTATGTTTATTATATTTCTAGACGAGTTAGAAGAAACATTCCAGCAACATACCATTGTAGTGGACACGAACACCAGTGGGAACAATCGAATGTATTTAACACATAATTACAGGACTTGTTAATAAAATCTAACAATTATAAAGTGAATGCTTAATTCGCAAAATGTCCACCAATTGTCTCAAAATGACTCAGACTTCACTGTTCTTGCATTTTCATACAAAGTGCATTCTGTTTCCATTCTATACTGTTCCATCCTCTTGTCTCTCTGCTATCAGACCTTCTGTTCACGAGTAACATCAAATACCACTTATGTTAATATAAGTAGCACACACCACACCATGACGAAATTAAATACATTTTTGTTTTAATCCTATGTAAATGTTACTAGTTCTATACGAATATCACTCCTTCGTTATTTTCTCCAAAACGTATTTTGTGATATAAATAATCAGTGCATTGATCATAGTATCCTTTAAAACATATAAATACAGTCCAAGCCTACTATCGGTTATAACTTTGGAGAATCTCAATAGTTTTAAGTCGTTCGGTTATTGATAATTATGAACTATTGATGCTTTGTCAATTATTAGTTAGACGATGTTTAACAGTAATGATATACATGGCGGAGAACATAGTGAGAACATTTCAAAACTATTGTAAATTAGCAACAGGTAAACGACTTCGAACTTTTTATGTCTTACCTTAGCTACTATAAAGTTATCAAATGGGGATTTGTGATTGTAGTAATTTTGATAGTTAAATTCATGAGTCTGTATAAGCTAGACCATCATTGGCAACCGGGAAGCACTGGAAGGCCGTTTCATCTTGGTATAGGACTCCCCATTAGTACGTATCCGCGATCCCTCACGCGGAACTCCAATTCAAGATCTGTCTCACACACCAACGCTTAACTCCAAGACCACTGATCTGCCATCCCACAGAGTTAATGTCTAGTTTCAATTAATCTTTGATCTTGTGCAACCCTTCATCCACTGTATGAAGTGGATAACGGTCTCATCCGACACGGATTGAACTCCACTTGTCATGGCGTTTCACCAAAATCCAGGAAATCTATCTTGAAGCTAGTCACTAGTGAGCACATGATGATTATTGTTACTATGACAGTTTGTGGAGATTGTAATAATTTTAATAGTTGCACACTGCTGAGAAGTCCCATACTAGGACGAAATGTCCGTCCAGTGCTTCCAGGTTTCCAATGACGGTCTAGCTTATATTGACCCATGAATTCAACTATCAAAATTACTAAAACCACAACTCCTCAATCTGCTTAGAAAGGTAACTTATGAAGTTTTAGTGGGAAGTTGTGGCTAATGGAGCACAACCACATTGTGTGTGAAATGATTAATCATAAAGAGATATAAATGATGGTTCCGAATAATGGTGAATCGAGTGAAACCAAAAATGTAAATAATTGAGTGCAATCTCACTGGTCTGAATGCTCAGCACTCATAGCATCATCTGAAGATCTTGTGGGAGAGTTTTGAATAGACGCTAACAAAAAGTCCTATACCAGGATAAAACAAC